AAAAAACCATAAATCCAAGGGAAGTCCAATCTATGAAATTAGAGACAAAAGAATTTTAAAACAAAGTATGGTACCATTATCAATAAATATGCATAATTAATAAGATTGGAATGTCATGTCAATAAAAGAATAATAAAAACAAATCAGAAAACAAATTCACCATCAGAGATTGGAGACAAAATATCAGTATTCCCTTTCCAAATAACAACTTGTTAATATATGATGGGGAAAAACAAACAGTAGACAAAACATATATAGCTTAAACTTTAAATGAATGAGTCTAGCATTATACCTGTAAAGCCATTTATACTTGAATTACTTGAATTATCAATCACTGAAGTTTGTGAGAACCTATTTGGATTTTTATTCCTTTGCAAAATAGAAGACTTTCGTCTATTACCAACAACTTTATTTTTTCTTGTACTGCATCAAATAATATAAAATAAAGTGAATGAATGACTCAATTAACATATTCTGAGAAATTTAAAACAAATTAGTAATAATCATATGAAACAACCCTGTCTTTAATTGAAGGTTTAAACAAACATATGTCCTTAATTTAAAGTCTTTACAACCCTGTATACTTAACTATAAATTTCTTTAAACTTGAGTGCCTTAACTTAAAAAAGTTGATAACTGTTTAACAGTAAAAGAAGTGTATACACGTCTATTGGCATGTAATTGCCAAGAACACTTGAGAAAAGTTACATTCCACTAAGAGTTGTTCACACTTCAAATGGATTATCTTGCAACTTAGTGGAGAACTAAGTTCATCTTGCCATTTCCCTCTTTGTCACCAAATGGTAAAAGAGGAAAGGAAGTTGAGAGTTCATGAGAGTTGTAGAATGCTAGGGTTTGAAGAATTCAAGAGGGTTCCCAAGCGTGCACAGCTTAGGTAAGTGAGTATTAGTCCTATACTAAGTGTAGAGGCATGCAACAACAGCTAAATTGTAGGACTTGAGGCGGATTATGGTTATGGTCAAGCTAACTCGAGGTAAGTTAACTATCTATTTAGCCAGTTTAAGTTTAGAAGATGGTGGAGAATTTATATGTCTATCCAGATTGGTAAAACAAAGCCCAAAACCTGGTCCTGGCTCCATTAATGTGTCTATCCGAATTTTGCACTTAGAACATGTTGGAGCGTTTATCAGTTTGTTTTGAGGAAACTTGTAAAGTTCTTAGATATTTAAACTAAGCATGAACTATACTTGAGTTTTTATGCCCCACAGCTATCCTAAAATTTTTGTATTAAGTAAAAATGTTTTCAACAACTACTTTGTATTTGAAATGTTTTCAAATCAGAACTTTAAACTCTATCCCAATTAGTTTGGCCCTTTTGGGATGTTATATGACAAGTAAAACAATTTAAAAAATAGGTAATAGACAAAGTAAGCCATATATTCATTTACTAAACATTTAAATAATACGAAATAACACAACTGTTAAATAAATATGACAAAAATAAATATCAAATAAAGATCTTACATTATAGAAGAAGAGACTAATGATTTCGTTGCACAATCTCTAAAAAAATAAAAACTTTCCTTCCTTAACTTCTATCCATGGCTAGAGTCAACGACAAGGAAAACAACATCATCACAGTTTTTCTTTCACTCAACACTATGCTCAGAAGGATTAAGCAAATAAGCTGGAGATTAACATAAAACAAAACATAAAGATGAAGATAAATATGATGTAAAACATATGAAAACCAACCTAAATTTTAATAATGATATAAAATTTTTCACACATTTATTCACTTATAATTTGAAATATCACATAAAGCTGATCTATTAAAAGGTTGAGAAGCATCAGTATGAATTCCAGATGGAGCCAGAGGAGTGCCAACATTGTTCTCCTTTAAATTGCAAATAAAGTAATACAGGCATTTTCATATGATATATAGAATCAAACAATCATATAACACTGATAAGAAACTATGAAATAAAGATCTTACGTTATATTAGAACTCCCTCGATATGTAGATGCACTTTCTTTGATGGTTAAATTAACATGAATATTTCGAATTTAATAAATAAGTAACAAAAAAACCCATTATTTGATGGTTAAAAATAATTTTTTCATGCACTACATATTAATTATTTTAATAAAATCAAACATCTTATTTATTGGACAGTATAAGCACAAACCTGTCAAGAGTGATTGAGAATTAAGCATTAATCAGTTATAAATAAGATTGTAGATTATCTACAAATCTAGATAAACTGTTGATGTGATACTCTATGGATAATTGAATTCAACTCTTTCCAGTTCCAAAAGTTCATCTAGCCTTACCATATAAGCTTCTCTATGCCATTAAGCCTAGTGAGTGATAAGGCTACAATACAGCAGCCTAGATCACTGTGACAGCATACTGAGTTCCAAGAAAGGGAAACTGACAGTTTTAAGCCATCCTAATCTTACTTAGGCCTACCTCTTCACTTTCAAATAGTGGTGATAGAAGCTCCAATGCATCACACACATCAATCATTTCCCACTTACCCATCAGTTCGATTGCCTGCTTTGCTTCCTGCATATACATCAACAAATCAATCTTCAATAATGACATTTTTGTTCATTAACCACATAAAAAGCATGTAGCAGGTGGAGCAGTGGAGAAAAGGATGGTAACTTGAACATCACTCCATTCAACACATCTTAGAAATTTTGTTAGTGCCCTCTTCTCATACATCAATGAGAAGCAAAAATTCCAAAGTAGCTGTCTCTCATCTCCACTCAAAGCCCTTGTTGGTGGATATTTTAAAATTCTTTGGATTATCCTTAAAAGAAAAGGAAAAGGAGAAAATATGCCACCTATTTGAGAAGAATTTCACCAACTATTATGTGAAAAAATACTTAAAATGATATATATGGATAGAATGACAAAACAATCCGACAGAGATAACAAAGAAAAGCCTCTGAAAAGTTGTCATTACTGCCACTTTTAAAGAGCACTAACCTCTGGACATCATATTGACAAATACAACTAAATTTGGTTTTATAGAGCTTAGATACTTGGTATAGAATCAACAAAGATCCAACTTAACTACATGGCAGTTTAAAATGTGAGCTACACAGGCAACAACCATGTT